TACGACAGCTACAGTCCTAATTGTAGGGCTGAGGGACGTTGTGCTACTGGAAACAAAAATCGGGATCTTGAATGGAGAGAAAGGGACAAAGTCATGGAGACAACGTGAAACTAATTCAAAAGTTACTTCATCCTGAGTGGGGATGACCAAAGCAGTCCCCAGCGTGGAGAGCACATGATTCCTGGACACGTTTCCGTATGCTGACCCCGCACAGAAGCGCAGCAGGCAGCAAAACGCCACGCACACACGTTTGTCTGCAAACTAAACCTGAGAGGCTGCATTTTAGGGTTGCTAGCCAGAGCAGCTTCCATAGCAATTTCCTCCAATTCTGGGGATTTTACAAGAGATGCTGAGGTTCCCTAAGAGCAAGTAGATTTCCCCCAGTGATGGGCTGATTTATGAATAAATTAGGCCCTCAGGAGCTATTGGGAGCAACTGACTCTTACAGGGCTTAACCACATACAAGATTAATATCCTAGCAACAGTAAAGATGCAGGGGAAACCAACACTTTTAAAGTACAGAGGTTTAGAAAGCAATTGACCCCTTTTTTAGGCAGTTTAGGTCCAGATCATGTGGTATTTGGAGATATTAAAACTTCCTCTCCACTGCATGACATGATACAGTACAGCATCACTTATGCTACTTCTGCTTCAAATAAAACCACGTGGAAACAGGGTGGCTGAGGAGTAAGTCACAATTCCTGTCTGGCTTCTGGGTCGAGGTCCAGTCCACGACAAGGTGGGAGAACGAAATAGAGTGCAGTTTCTTTTTTTCTTCTCTTTTATTTTTCTAAAAAAATTCTGTTACTCAAACATTAACTGATGAGAACGCACAAAGAGGTCATGCAAAAGGAGAAGGCAAGTCTGAAACGCTGAAAAACAAACCAACAAAAGAAAACTGCAACGAGATTAACGACGAGCCACAAAATAACGTGGCCCTCAGGAAGGTGGGCGCAGGCAAGGCAACAGGGCGAGCATGCAGACCGAAACAAGAGCAAAATGAGGTCTTTGTGACAAGCAAAATGGGGCTTCAAACCAAAACGCCAGTGTCTGTGTTCGTGTGTGTGTGTCTGTGTGTGTGTGAGGAAGAGGAGGGAGAAAGGAAGGGGGAGTAAAGAGGAGGGAGCTGAGAGAACAAGCAGGAAAGCAAGTGTACATACGTGAGCTTGAAGGCTTTCAGGAAACAGCAAGGTCATAGGGATTTAATACTTGGAATGAGCATCAGCCTAGATTTAAAAAAAAATAAAGGCTGAAAAGTATTAGTGACCTTTTGGGGAAAGCAGAGTATTGAATAATGCACGTGGATAAAGTTTAATATCCGCAAATTCAGAGTCCAGTCCAGCTGCCGTAACACTGTTCCCGGAGTGGCTTTCTGTGTGTATTACACCTCCTTTCCAAGCTACCTGATGAAACTACCCGCAGGATTAGCGCTAAAGGCACCACGTGAAATGCTGATGGACCAGTGCGTACATTCAGATGGACTGAGGGACAAGGGAGGAGAGAAGACAGACCAGAACATGCGTGGGACTCCCTGGTTACCCTTCGCAAAGGGCAGCCAGCGGTCCTGTGACCGGTATCGGGAGCAACTGGGTGGGGGAAGTGTTGGTTATTTTTTTATGGAAGGGCAGTGCCAAGCTGGCAGAAGAGTAAGGAAGGCTGATAAGTTAATCTGAGCCACAAGTAGCATGCCATGAAAAAGAGCAAGCATCTGAATGATACTGGGATGGAATTTAGGTCTGAGTTTTTCAAGTGGGAACTCCAGACAAGACTGGGAGTCTGGCTTTCCGTGGGTGTATTTTAACTGCCTGCAGGGTAAACAGACCATTTTGTTTCTCCTTCTGTGACAAGCTCGCCCCGAGGTTCTTGCACCAGCACAAACACCTTTAGGAATCTAAAACATAAGAAAGACAAAAAGAAAGAGACTGGATTAGAAAGAGACTGGGGAAAAAGGAATCCCTTAAGAGTTGCACTGCCTGCAGGAGATTAAAGGAAATCCAAGCACCTACCAGGTTACAAAGAGTTAAGAAAAGCTCCTGAACTCAGGCATACATCACCAGCAGTCATCATTCACCCTCAGCCCTTCCCTCCAGGAAGCATGCTGGATCACTGCTCTCCCCTGGGAGGAGGATGTAAAACCCTGGAGCAGGACCCTGCCAGCACTTTCTCAGTGCAACAGTAGAGAAAACAAACAGCTTTCTCCTTTTCGATCTGCTCAGAGTGCTGTAGCTGATCAGGTGATAGCTCCAAAGACCATGACTGATACTGAAGAACAACATGAAGCTAAAACACAAAGAATTTCGCAGACGAGACCAGACTAGCTATCCTTTACACAACAGGCTGTGAAGATCCTTCACTTCTAAGGGAAGCCCAGTAAGAAGCAGGTAAGTGACAGTGCTCTTAGCTTCTAAACTCACGCTTTGTCACATTCCTGTAGCCACAGACCGCTGGCTGAGGGTAAGTTTTCTCTGTGGTCAAATAAAGCTACAATCCAGGAGTTTGATTTGGCTGAAGAGGCTGCTGTATCAAAAGGGATGGATATAGGATGAGTCCAAACTTCCCTGACACTTGGGAGCAGGTTGGAACCTTCAGATCTCCTTTGCACACACTTCCGTAACAATAACAAAAGAAAAAAATGCAAACGATAGCACAAAAAATGTTTTCACAGTTTCACAACAAAATATTCTTCCTGAAAAAGAACTGCATTTATACTTTGTGTATCTCTGTGTGGGAAGCAAGTGAAAAGCAGCTCTGGACCATTTCTTTGCCATTAATAAAGTTAAACTTAAATGAATAGCCAGTAATAAACTCACAGGAATGAGAAAATATAATGTTTATTAGAAGAAGACACCACGGTACATCAAGCTATAAAGAGATTCCTGACAGATGATGATTCTTCAAAAAATAGGAATAGAAATGGAACAACCACACTGGCCAGATTTAACAAACTTTAACACAAAACAAAAGTTTCTATGCAATTCCAACCAGATGCAGGCAGCTGAGTAACCAAAAAGGCTTATCAACGTAAGGACTGAATAGTTACCAAAACAACAGCTAGGTTAAGCAGAACAACAACCTATAAAACCATTTATATTTATATATTTATATAAAAGGATAAAACCAATTCAAATTCAAGTAACTTTAGTTTTTTAAGTTATGTTATATACAATTTTTTTTATACTGGGAGAACTAAGGACAAGTATTTAACAAAAGGATTTAAAAAAAGATACGGTCCAGTTTATAATTAATTACCATTTCCTAAATAATTTGGCAAGCATTAAATAATCAGATATATCCTAGATAAAAAGTGCATCAGCATGGTTAACTTTCACCTATTTATTTATATAAGTCAAGGCTCTGCCTAATGGTTAGAGCAAGCAAACAGCAGAGCCACAATGCTGTCTGTAAGGGATTTATTTATATAATTGGGGGGTGGGGAGGTAAACAGGAACAGACCCACAGTGGCAAAGGAACTGAAATGCTAATCAGCTCAGGGCTCCAAAGCTGTTTTTCCTTGTTGTTGTTCTCCCCCCAGGAAGTTTAATTTCACACATCAGTCTGCTCACTGCGCATCAACCCAAGCAGCCAGTCCTTCTGGTGGGAGCACACAGCATTTTTGCTCGGTGCAATGCAGAGTTTACAGAACACCAGTTACTTCGTGCAAGTTTCTCGTGTGTATCACATTTTATTTCACAACATCCCTCAGTGAAAGGGAGCTTTGTTCCCAAGCAGATTGAGGTACCACATTTAATAACACAGAATGGTCAGTCTTGGGCAAAAAGGTCCAACTAGTTCCAGTATTTGTCTGTTGTCAGCACCAGACACCTGACAGGTAAAAGCCCTGCAAGAAGCGACACCAACGTGCGCAGAGGAATTGTGTTCCTTGTCCCCTAGCAGTTAGAGGTTGGCACAAATCCCAAAACGTGAGCTTACAGCCAAGAGATCCAGTTCTGAGTCTGCACGGTTTTAGCATTTATAATAATTTCCTGCATGCATCACAAGGAGAATGAACCATGTTGGCTCTCCTTTATGTTAGGAAGGACAACAATGCTGTTTACAACTGAATTGGTACAATCAGGCCAGTGCTTTTATTGGCAGTGATGCACATTTAAATTTCAAGGAGAACTTATACATGCATCAGCCCAGGGAACGGTACCTAACGGAGTCTTTCAGTGATGGAGATATGACTTGTGCATTCATCTCTTCTAAAAGAAAACCTTCTGAAATAGATCTCTTAAAACAATCGTAGCAGCAAACCAGTAGGATAAAAGGTGAACAGGCCTATGCAAACCTACTCAGAGATTTTCTGAAGTGATTTGTACACATCTGAAAAAAAAAAAAAAAGGCAAAACAAGATAGACATTACCGTTCTTTTTGCAATAGGGTTTGCTACCAGCCTCTGACTGGAGGTATTGTAAACTTTACAGGCAGCCCTCATGCAAGTATTTGCAGAAACACACAGCCCTAGGCTGGCTTGCATGACTGACTATGGTCAGAAGGGTGGCTGCAGCACACGACTTACCTGTCCCATCCATCTCAGGTGCTGTAGCACTACAGCCCTGACAACACAGCTTTCAGCTAACTGGAAAAGCACACCAGCTGCCAAGTGGCTTTTCACAGTGCATTTAACAACCCCATTCTCAGGAACCTGCAGCTCATGACAGGCAAAGCCTCATCATGCAGGCAGGCCTGCAATGCTATCGATTCTGCTGGCTGCAAGAGTCATGAACATGCTCAGTTGGTGGAAATGCTCTTAGCGCTTCACACAACTACATTTAGAGGTACCAGCTGCTCGAGCATCTTTTCAAAAGCAAGAAAGAATTACCAAAGGTTATAAATGCCTTAGCACTTAGTGACATTTTCAGGAAAGCTGTAGTTCCCATTTTAAGTATGCAAGGACTGAATAAGTCACTTCTACTGACGTATTCATATCAAATGAGAATATTCAACTTGCAATAAAGTTTGACTTTTAAACACAGCAGCATTTCCCACAAATCTTTATACTGCTACTGTGACATTTTTTGGGAATTTAAATTTTTCAGCAGAGATTTGAGAAAAAAGATGTAAATATTATAGTTAACTTACATCAGATATTCACACATCCAGTTGATTTTGTTCTTAAAGTCCAGCAAAATTAATGGAAAAACTTAAGGGATCAGGAATGCCCCCACTGTTGCTGCAGAAGTGACTGCAATGGTAGCAGCACTCACCTACCCCCCAGCACAGACTGCCTGTTTAGGACCTTTCAGCTTCATGCTGTAATTTGCATTATACCATTAACAGACTAACATTATCTTCTGGCTGGTATTGTAATGCTCCTGCAATATTCTTTTTTCAGGAGGGTAAGTTAAAGAAAAGTTTCACTGCTCCAGTTAACAGGACTGTGCCAGAATTTGTCACCCTACCCAGAGAGATGCTTTGTTTCATTTCCTATCCAACCCACTGCTCTGCTCATAAGTAGGTGATTTGCTGTACCTGCCCTCTGATGTGAACCACACCACGTATCTTGGGCAGGAGAGCCATGTTCGTTCCTTGGGACAAATTTAAATGCCATACTAGCTTAGCTGTTTCAAGCAGCCTACTCTGCTGAAAGCAAATTTCTCCAGCAAAATAATAATGTGGCTTTCAACTACTGCCATACACAGAGCAGTCAATCTCCAAAGGAGAAAACATGGAATTATAAGAAGGGGCCTCTCATTCTGTGCTGTCTTGTTCTGAACATGAAGGAAAACGTACGATCCACAGCCGTCTTTCAAAGGTTAACAAAAGCAGACAGAGGGGCGCTCAGCTTTCTGCGCTCTTTTGCATCTCAACTGACTCTGTACTTTGCCAACACAAACAAAACTACTGTATGATGGCAAAATACAAGACCCCCGACATTCATCTGCAGCAGACAAGGCACTGCGCTGTTTAATACTGAATCCAGGAACAGCGAACTAATCAAGTTATAGTGCTTGTTTACAGAGAGAGCTCTACTCTCTCCCAACTGTCTGCAATCCCCTGTAAGAATGGTTCAACTTTCTTTTAAATTGGAGGAGGCACCTTGCTTCACACCCAGAACTTCAAGGGCTAGGACACACAATAATCTGAAGGGTTAAATGACTAAAAAAAATAACTGTTTTGGAACAAATGTCCTGTTTTGGAACAGGATTAAAATAATTTGTGTATTATATTACCAGGCGTTTACATGTTAGCATGTGTTCTAGCCAGTATTTCCCTGTCCGCTCTGCTTGCTTACACAAAACATCTATTTGTGAGGAGTCAAAAGCAAAAAAGGAAACAGACGATAGCCCAGTCTAAACTCAGCATGTCTCCATTGATTGTGTGTGAGCAAAAGATGAAGCCATTTCTTATGGGTCATCTGAAATAACCGTATTTCATCTGAAATAGCAAATACATCCAAAAGACCATTTTCTGAAATGTATTAAGATGGAAAAGAATAGAGGATCTTCCTTAATGTCAATGATTTAAGGATGACACAGTGCCGTGTAGACACCTGGCAAGATCTCTCCTTCCTCTTCCAAGGAGGCTAACTAAATGATGAACAGCTTTCAATTCAAAAGGTCCCCAGAACTCATTAAGCTCTGAAAAGCTACAACACTGAGATACAAAACAGCAGCTAAATATTTCCTATGTAACGGTTCACTGAACCAGTTTGGAACAATTGACTTGTGAATACCTCTGAGATGCCCCCTGGATATCTAAGGAAAGCCAATAATCATTCCAAACGGCTGTTTCCTGCACTAAGTTGGGTGTGCAATGGCAGTGACAGTTGAATAAGCACCTACTAGGAAAGGCTGCATTTTCCCTCTACCACACTATCCTCCTCTGATCAATAAAAAGCATGTTTTGCGTACAGCACACGGTATTAGTCCACGTACAAAATAATGCACTTTGTGGCATTGTACAGACTTTTAAAAGGCCCTCTCTGCAACGCAGAGCAGTTGCAGGGTTGGGTATCTCTGTGAAAGCAAATAAAGTAATAATAATAATGGTATTAAATATAAGTCATAGCACCTTTGGCATTTTTGTCCAAATAGACTTCAACATACGACGTGGGGACGTAGCCCTCCTCATCTTCATTCCTTCGGATTCGCGTCCACCCATCACCTTTGTCTTCTTCTATTACATAGAGCATTTCTCCTTCTGCTACAGAAATTGTTCCTTCATTCTGACCTGAAAGACACAATAACATGGATTTTAGGCTACCCTGTGCAATGAGGATTAATAGATGGAGTAGGGGATGCTTATGGCGTGTAGGGGCAGGGTGCTGACACCTTTGTTGTGTCACTGCAGCATGAACATACATGATTCTGGAGCCAAGAGAGCACGTTCAAAGAACCAGAGAAATGTGATCCTAACATCAGGGTTGCCATAGGAAATGCTATTGCCACCAACAGAGAAAAAGCACCCATGAGCCTCACAAAATTTTGTGTAGCTAATGTCCAGCTTTTACAGCTGCTCTATTGGAAAGCAGTGATCACAGGCCAGAGTGTTTATTTACCACAGGCAGCCTAAAATTACAGGGCAATGTATGTACCACTAAGAACTTACTTCAAATGAGTATCATAATCCTAAATAATGCTACCCTTACACAAATTTCTCCTCGCAGCAGAACTCCCAAACACATAACATAACAGATTTTTCCACCAGCGGTTTGTATAGTGCTCCTGTGATAATATGATTAGAGCTTATCTCCCAGCAAGCAATCCCAGTCAAAAAAATCTCATGGAGACCTTCAGTAAGTATGGGATAAAGCACACTGAGGGAAGGAAATGCCTTAAATAGATAATGTTTTATTCCCTATTTCTCCCTGGCACTATAAGATGCACAGTTCTAGATATTTTTTTTTCTTGCTGAGGCCCTGCAAAATGCAAAGGAAATCATTGTCCTGATGCCTCTGCAAAACAGAATCACACCAAAGCCTCACTCAGCCTTTCTTTGCCTACTTAAGTGCTGAAGGGGTTAAACAGATGTTTCCCACTTGTCATAGGAACCAAACAAAACAGTAAGCAAAACAAGAGTAAAAGCTGAGTAATACCTTCAAACGTATAGAGCGCTTTACATGTTCCTATGGTTGGTAGTGGTTCTTCATCATCAAATTCATCATCAAAATCCGTTGCAGGTACTTTCATCTCAGTCTCCTGACTTTGCTCTTCTGTGTAACTGCCATCTGGGCTGCTCAAGAGAGGAAAATACAGAGCAACTATAGCAACCAGCCTCGGGAGCAAAGAGGATGGCTTGTTTACCAGATGCTTAAGACAAGGTGAGCAACTCGAGCTGGAGCCACTCAGCAATTCCAAAGCGTGCTCAGGACAGGCTGCTACCACTAGCAGCTGTCACAACACAATGGGTAAGACTAATCATTTTTCTCTTCAAAAGCTGTAAAATATATCCACCTCACTTGCCTTCACAGCACTGAGCACTGGGGCTATTATAAATTTCATCATACTTAGAAAAGCAGCTGTTCAAGTTGGAATCTTCTATATGCTAAAAAGAGTGAGCAAGACTCCCTTCACGGAGTGCCTGCCTTTTGTCTGCTCATCGAATAAACTTCTGAACGCTGCAGAGCAAGAGTTTTCCTGTTTAAGAAGCTCAGGAAATCAGGTTTAATGTCATTCCAAACAAGTCAGCTCTGTACAGATACTGTACCTCTCCCGGTCCTGTGCGCAGCTGTTTACTGCTGAGGTGTTCTGGGCTTCATACAGCCCGCTCTGCCGTCGGGCCTGTTCAGTCCGCATGGGCAGCCTGCCCTCCACCTCGGCCAGCCAGCCCTGCAAAGGAAAAGCAGCAGTCTCACACATCCCCGGTGCTTAGACTTGCAGGGGGACATATGTTGTTTTTACTTTGCTTTGTTATGTTTGACATTCAGACTACGGAACTAAAACCAGATTGTAAATATTTAAAAGTTTTCTTTTGAGTTGCAGTTGTTGGGTATAAATAGATTCTGTATGTTCAACATTTATTAAAACTCATGGTCTTGCCACAAAACACGCTTACTGAAAACTTGATTCTTTTGTGACGCTGGGTGCTGAAAACATCGAGTTAAGAGGAGCAGTTAATAGCTGTTTGGACATGCTGCTGCTCTCGTCACAATAAAGTACGAAGATATGTGGCAGTTTAAGTAGTCTCAATAACATCAGACACGCAGCAGTCTTAGTGACTGCTGAATGCAAGAGGAGTAATCTGGGGAGAAAAAAAGAGCCAGTGATTTTCAGATGGCTAAGCAAGCAATGGATAGTAAAGCCAACGACTGCAAGAAACATCTAAAATTAACGAGCTTTATATCTTTTTATGTTCATAGCCTAACTTAGAGAGTGCAACCTTTCCTCAGTCCCATAATCCTTCCGGTGTAATTATAATGGGATACACTTATAATTGCTTCTTATATTCTAAATATTTCTCATACTCTTGAGATTTTGCATCTCTAAGAAGCCTTCTGTTAATGGCAGACTGTTCCTTAAAATGTATTTCTTCTGATGGCTTCTGTCTTGCTGTTAAGACTTTAAACAGTACTTCACATTTACATTCCTCTGATTTTCCACAGACATCTGTAACATGATGCTTCAGATTATTTAATTAAATAAGCATCCAAACCCCTCTGAGCAGTCCAGAGAGTGCTACAGTTTCTCTTATTCTCTACTTAGCATAGCTTGTTTTCTGTGGCAAATTAAAGAGCATGCAAGTTGGCTGACAATCATAAGAGATGGTACATATTTATGTTACACAAATAGGCTGAAAGATCTCAATTAACTTAAGTGCTTAAGTAGCACTTCCCCATACATAGGGAGAAAATGCTTCAATACATCTCTATCTAGAAATGCACTGAAGCACCTGCTTAGAATCCAGCATGTGCTGAGCTACTTTCCACTGAAGCAAGGCGTATTCACTTAGACCAGCATCACTAATGTACATTTACTCTTGTATCTCTTCCCATACCTCAAATTTCTGAACTTCTAATCGTAGCTTTTCAATGTTCTGTCCGAGTTCTGCTAATCTGTGGTCCACACTTGCTGGATCTCCCATCTGTGGGTTCTTGATATACACGTCTTTCATTTTTGTTAAGGCATCTCTGAAAGAGAAGAAAAACAAAGCATATAAATGTTAGTGCACCTGGGGGCAAATCTCTTTCTCTAACTGAGGGAAAGCAAAAGGATAATAGACTGCCTTTTCTTTACTCTGTGGTTCAAGTCTTATCTGTTAAAATGGTAATGGGGAACACCCAGACAGGGACTTTTGTCTTGTATAGAACCAACCATCAAAAAGTGACAGCAAAATCACTCACCAAAAGAATTCACATTGTCAGAGGTGGAAGGAAAAAAAAAAAAAGCGTCTGTGACACCTTTACCTACAAGGTAATGAGAGGCACTGTCCACAAGCCTAACTCTTCAGTCCTTACATTAAAAGGAGCTTCTTACTCTACAACCAGCACAGGGTTTTTTACATGAGCAAGGCTGGCAGCTGGAACATCACCAGAGAACCGTTTGGCCACACAGATGTACTGCACTGCTACAAGCACACACTGCATTGAGACCAAATGACTTGAGCTCCATGTGGCCCACATGAAGAACCTCAGCAGAGATGTGACTGGACGCTTGGATAATTGCCTTTTGCAAGGCAAAAGAATGAATTTGGTATTGACTTTTAGCCTGACACACTGTTTTACTTAGTACTATGATTTCCACTTGCCAGCCCAAAGGGTGGGGTGGCAATCTCGAGGGGGTACGACAAACAATTGCATCATTCTCCTCCATCACAGGCTGAAATCCAATTGAGAAGCTAGGACGAAGAGCTGGAGATGGATGTATTAATAACAAAAACGGAGTGATAACCAGGAATTCCTACCTTGCTTGTTGGATTTTGTCCTTTGCAATGTAAATCATTTGTAAGATATTTATTTCACACTGCTTAAAATGAAGCGAAATCCAGATGGTTTGCATGTGTCACAGCATAGCAACAGATGGACCTTAGGCCACATAATGCGACCCTGCATCCTGTTAAGTTATACATTATTTTTACTAGACTGTTTCTGGGGGCTGTGTTTCATATCAAGCCAGATGCCAAATGCCTTGGGTTTCAGAGTTGTTAATTTTAGGGCCTACTATGATGAATTTACCAACATGAATGTAGTACATGCATGAGATCCCTTAGGGAAGCCTGCGGAGCTTTCACTGACAGCAATGTGCTGCCTTTGACGTGAGGCAAGCTGAAGCTGAACTTAAGGAAAAAAGTTATCTGCATGATTAACGTTTCAGAGCTGAGAGATGGCTGACTTACGAGCCAATTTCCTGTATTACTGGCACAGCTATTCAGCTTTTCTCTAGGCATTACTTGGGGGGAGAAAGGTTAATGTCAGTCCCACGACTCAAGTTAACACTCTTTATATTTTAGAGTTTCCCACCGAACTCTTGACAATTGCAATCCTGTGCCTGCTTTTGCTTTGTGTGTAGAGAAAATGAGAAAAAGAGTGGGTGGCAAGGAAGCGGGACTGCTCTGTGGTTGAAGCCCTAAGGGACAATATTGCAAACCTATGAGTCATGATGATTTTAATTTTTTAACTCTTGCTTAACTGCTGGTGCTACTTCCTCAATCGTATACTATCTTCATTTTAAAATTGCTTCATTCTGCTCTGATTTCATATCAGGTTTTAATATTGGGTTACCTCAGAATCAATACAGAGCAGAAAGGAAAGTACATACAGAAACAAACATTAAGTTATCACAGAGGGAAAAATGCTATGGAAGTAATATAACCATGTGCAGTCTTCCTTTCTCTTTTATGATATAAAATGTAAAAGAGATAGTCTGGGTTACCAAACCAACGTAAATAGGATCTTCAAAGCAAAATAGCAGAAAATGTAGGCATATCTTCGCAAATGCGAAGCAGTATTTTGGGATGGACTAATACCAGTGAGGCTGAGTCTTAAAATCATTCAGAGAAGAAAAAATTTGTCTCCTACAAACAGAGCATGCTGAATCTTTAATGCAACTGCAGGAGCCAGAATACCAGCAATCACTGGAAGCAACAAATACAAGCTGCCAGAATCAATAAAAAGTGTGTAACTAAAATGGTCTTGTTCTCAACCACAATGATAAACAAAGCCTTGTAGAGAAAACATCCACAAAAGCACAGGACTCATCTTTTCTGCTTCCAGGAAATGTATGCTACAGACCAGAGTAGCAGACCAATCAATCTGCACTTCTGACGATGTTATCACGCTCATAAAAGCCTCTTTTGTTGGGATCTACCCATGCCCACCTTTGCCCATCACATGTTTATAGCTGACCTGCTAAGTGCTGAGAGGTCTGATTGTGCTCCTGATTGAGAATGTACTTACACCCTGTACTTACCTAAAATAAACAAACAAACAAAACAGAAACCACACCGCCATCACCCACCCCCAGTACCAGATCACATCAGCCAAAAACTGTGTACAAAATTGTGTATCTAACACTGATCTTTGTCTAGGTCGTGACTAAACTGCTACTACTCTGCTGCAAAGAGCCAAGACAGAATCTCCACAAAGAAGGAAAAATTGTTTGCAGTTATCGCATATCTAATTCCCATTTTTCGCAATATGTAACCTCTGTGCCTTTTCTTGGAATAGCACCTTAGAAAACCCTAGAACCTTGCTCTTACTTTTCAGTTGTTTCAGGTCTGCTGTATAAGACCACCTATTTCATTTTTCATTGGGGGGCGTTGGCTTACCTTTGATCCATTTCCTTCTGAATGTCTCTGTTTAGTTCATCGACTTTCTGCTGAAGCTTCTTTCTTCTTTGCTCAGGTGGGAGATTGCTGAAGTCTTCTGGCCCAGCTCCCTGCAGATTGGAATGGGGGAAAAAAGAAAAAATCAGGATCTAAAAGAATCATTTCAGGATTGCATTTTGACAGTATCTCACAAAAATCTGTGAAAAAAACACAATGAATGGTCTGAAGCATTGTTATTGCTTGTACTAGAACTTATCAGTCCCTAAATGGCTAGGAATCTGAGTGCCTAACTACTAATCCCTGGACCTCATCCCACTTTCCTACCAAATGGCTATTGGAGATCAGCAACTAAAGAATGCCAGAATTCAACGGCAAAGCTGAAAACCCATTTTTATCCACATTTAATAGCAGATTTTAACAGAGTTCCAGTCTAATGGAATGTTTGTTATCCCTGTCTTTCCCTACTCTTCTACAGACAGCAACCCTTTCGAGCAGTCGCTAGCTTCTACTCCTGTGTCATAGTCATGCTTCTTGTGCCCACTACTAATTGCTGGCTTGCTCTACATAGTCTGAGGGTTGGACCAATGTGCTTAACTTATGTCAGGACTCTCCTGAACACAGGAAGGTAACAGAAGCACTTAATCCGGGGTTATACAATTTAAGAGCACGTTGCACACTGTCTGGAATCCACGTTTCATGTCCAAGCCTCAGTATTTCCTTTCTTACTTCTATTGGCATAGCAATCAGGAATTTTATCAAAGCCACTTCAAATAGATTGAAGTCATAACTCAAGGAAAAAAATGGAAGACCACAGTGGTTCCCCTTGTGTGATTCTACTTTAAACCCCCCTTTTCTGCCCTCAGACTGCTATGGCTATTCTTGATTGTCCCAATGTGATATTGCAGGTAGACTTTCCATAAAATGTGCCCTCAGTATTTTCAAAGTACCAACAGTTTTTGGCTTTTAAGAAGGCAAGGAGGAAAGTTTGGGTGAGCTACAACAAACACATTTCAATGATAATTAGCTGCATTGTAAAAGAGTGAGTTACTTTCATGTAATCTACAATTTGTAAAGGTTTTTCTTGTCTTGGTTTCTGCTCATTCCACATGCCATTTCTAAGAGGGAATACTGGCATGTGCGAGACAGAAGGGAAAAACCACAAAGCTGAGTAATGCAATTCAATAGCTCAGGAGCTTACTGAAAGCTGGTGAGCGAAGTTACAACATTAGTTTTACTCAAATGCCAAATGTTTCTCTGAGAGAAAGTGATTTAGTGGACACTTGGCCACAAAAGCTGCCCATTAGACCCCTTTGGCTCTGCACTGAGTGTGCCCTCTGAGACAGGGCACTCTCTTCTGCGTTCACAGGACATGGTATCTATAAAGAAAGTGTGCAGGTGTCAGAGGGATGGAGCACTACAGAGAGCTAATCTCCTCCTCTTCTGCTCTAGTAATTGCAAGAAAGCAGAGCAGAGCCTAATGAAATGTTCAGTACAAGACAGCACATGCAGCTAAATCAAAGCCACAGATCTTCTGTGTAACAAACTCCTAAAATTCCATTTTATGATACAATGGGAAAGCAAATTTAAAATAAATGAGGGAAACAACTAAATAAGCCAGACTCATTCTAAAACTTGTGTCATTTGCAGTCCTTGCAGTTCCGAATTACTGCTCGCATTACTGGCTGCTCATGGTACAGGAAAGCTGTACTTTAATTAGTTCTTTAATGTTGATAGCATTTTGCTTCATAGTAACCCTCCCCCGTCACGTTAACTGTAAAATATATTAAAACAGTTTATCTGCACACTAAAGCCATGCATATGTTTTTAAGGCAAAGCATCTGGATATAGCTTCATAAATGAGTAGTTAAAAGAAAGCTTTTTAAGGTGTTCTACTCAATTCTATCCAGAAGACACTGAGATGCTTGACAATATCCCCCGTTATACTAGACTTAGTCAAACCAATTTGGAAAAGCTTTTTTTATTTTTGATTCTTTGCTTCAGCCTCACTCAAAAGCTCCAGGCTGGGCTAAATTCCGTATCTGTGCTGACAATGCTTCAGACCAAAGCACTAGTGTCGCGTGGAAACGCATGCCTGAGAGCAGGTGAACTCACTGAGACTTGATTCCGTGCTTGGTAACTTCCCACCAGAACAGAAGCTACAGATCCTCTTCTAGCAGAAAAGAGTCAAGGAGCAATTTTTGCACATGCTGGGCACATTTCATGCTCTCAAGCAAAAGACGCCTGGGCTACCTCTTTAGTAGTAAGCACTGCCTGTGTTTTCTAGAAACGCACATCTTTTTTGTTTGTGTAGTTCTTGGGGAAAGGCCAGGTCAGGCATTTGTTTGGGGAGGATGTGTTCCTACTCACTAAGGCTTGGCTCAGCTACACATCACACTGACTTTGTGGCCAGGAAAACAACAAATGGAAATTCTTGGTATAAACCCTTTGGGCTAATAGGCCAGCGGGTGGCAACAGCCAAAAGAAGAAGGTTTGCAAGTAAGCTAGGGATCTCCATCATCCCTCAGGCCTACCACAGGTCTTCAGGGAAGCAATACTGCAGTGAAGCCAAAGCGAGTCGCTGTGGTGCACAGTGCAGCAGCAGGGCTTGAAACCTCCGGAGACATACCAGAGCTACAGCAGGCAGCTCTCAGCGCACAGCCCTTTCCTCAGAATAAGCTGCTACGAACAGAACAGGTCCAAAATGATGCATCCATGAACAAGGTGTATGCAGGGAGGAGAGGAGGAAGAGGCAGAGTGCACCTAAAGGCACTGACTGGTGAGGAACAAGAAAACTTTGAAGCTAATGCAGTTCAGGAGCTACTGGGGATCCTCGGAAGCTCCCTGAAATTGCAACCAGTCATTTGTGGCTCTGGCATGCTTGCGCCAAGTGGGTCAGCAAACCAGTCGCATTCCCCTTGTGACTGGGATCATCAAAGGCAAAGGAATCTCCACAAGCTATCAGGAACATCAAGGCGTGGAATATCTCAAGCAGTACAGTACCTTGAATGTAAAGCTGAGCACCCAATTTGCTTTCCCCATGAGGCTCACCCGTTCCCTTTCCAACCCAGTAACATTAGCTTACCGTAGTTCAAGCAACCTTCGCAGCTGCATCCGAGATAGAATTTAGGATTTGTACACATAATTTGCAAGTTCAAATCAGACTGAGTTAACCTTGTTGGTTAAGGTTTACAGAACTGTAATTAATATCATTATTAGTTATTCGGAAGGACTACATAGGGCTGTAAAATGTAGGCGGTGATGCAGATTTCCAGTAATACCTGGACACAGAAAGTAAACTTTGCAGCTATGTTACAGTTAAACAAAATGCATGCATTTCTCTCTGAAAAGGGTCCAAATATAGACACCTTTATTTCTTTTAATGTCTTAATTTATACTTATACAGTAGCAGAATTACTTGATACTGTTTTTCTACATTTTCGTAGCCCTAGATTACAAAAATAAAAGCTAAACTAGATATTAGAGTTAATTTTTTTTAGCAACTTATTAGAAAGACTGAGTTCCGATCACCTCGATTAGACTCCAGACCTGTGTATTCAGAGTTATCTGATAAACATCAAAAAAAAAAAAAAGCAAACACAAAGAAGAAACAAATTTAACAATTTCAGTGTCATGTCACATGTGGCACAGTGCACATTAACACACACAGAAAATTGTGATTAAAACACAGGACAGGCATGCTGTAAATGTGCTTACCAGCTTGAGAGAAAGCTTCATGTAAAAATTGGAGAGATACAGGGTGGGGGGAAAAAGAGAAAAAACAACAGTGCATCAGTAGAAGAGGAACTTTTTCAGGCTGACGTTACAATACAATGACACATACTCCCCTTGCTGTTGGAACGCAAAATGGGTAACGCTAACAGATCTGTGCAAAAGTTCACAAGAGGGCCCAGCATTACCAGCCAGCTGCCATTTCCTCGCCAGGAGCAGGGATGGAAGTGTTTGTTGTACCTCTGCGTGTGTGCTTCAGTACTGCAGGTGAAAATCTGCCCTGGCCTGGCTCATTTACAGCAGCTACCACAGTGATTCTCTCATTAACGCAACAACTTTGAAGTAGAAAAAGCCCTCTGAACTTGCAAATGTATGCAAGTCGCTTTAGATCAAAAATGTTGAAACGCAGTCACAAGCATCAGCTGCTTTATGCAAGAGAAGGGGATGATGACACCTGGCCAAAACGCCATGAAGAGGCAAGGTGCTATTGCTCAGCCTCCTGCTGCACGGTGCCATCTCCAGGCACTTCCAGGAGTCAGAGCCTCGCTCTCAGGCCCGTGGCCAAATATCCCTATTTACTGGGGACAGCGCCATCCGGGCAGTCTCTTAAGCCATTTCATGTTCTTGAACAATTCAAACACAGACACTCATCATCTCAAATTTATTTTGGCCACACGGTCAGACAAGGTCAGGACCAAGAACAAGGAAAAAAAAGAATCCCTTCTCTTTATACCAAATCGATTCAATGACAGCCCAGTCCGACATTATTCAAGCCCCTTAAATGATTTACATGATCTAATTTTTCAAAGGTTAACACGTTTCCTGGTACAGAGCCAAAACGTTATCTTTTACTTACTCTGGGAAAGAAAAGAGACTGCAAAAAGTGAAGTGCACATGCTTAAAAAGCCTACAGCTCGCCTCTGTCCTACATCACATACACGTCCAGCTCTCAACAGTGCTGCAGGGCCTCAAAGTGACAGGTGGACAAATGTGCTTGGGCAGGCGACCACCAAAATTACCAAAGCCCTCTTCCAGTGTTGCAAGATGTTATGACAGCTGCTATTCGTGACGTTTTCCAAGAGATAGGGAGCCTCAGTGTCACAGCGCCTTTCTGCTCCATGCCAAGGAGCACAAGCTGACTGCTATTCACGATACAAACCCAGATTTTAAAGGGAAAATCAAACCTGCATCCAGCCTCCTCTTCCAGTAACCTGCACTGTGACTGTGCTACCAGATCTCTGGGGACAGTCATGAAATGCTCAATGCATGCAATAAACTGAAGTGCATAAATGTGTGTGCTGTATGTTAAAGACAGCTGAAAAGTGAAAACAGGGAAACGTCTCTTGCTCTAGGTGATGAGCATATCGTCAGACTTCTGCATGTTCTTTTCAAGAGTTCTCTGTAATTATTACCACTGAGAGCTCCCAGATATGGTGCTCTCAGAATCAGATGCTCCATTTTTTATTTTGTTTTTTTTTTTTTTAGCCAGAGCACAGTTCTTTCGGGTTGGATTTAAGATAAAGGTGGCTCTACATCTATGGTGTTTTTGACAGCATGCCTAGCAAACACAGGATTTTCAAATGGAATAATTATCACTAGTTAGAATTTATACAGTGATATACACCAACCATTCAAAGAAAATATACGGTCTTAAAATAAATAGTGAAATCTTCCCTTTGAACTGACAATGCAGCAGTTAAACTTCCCTCTGAAGTTCATTCTTCTAGTACGTAAACACTTGACACTCACAGTGCAGTGAAGAAATTTACTCTCTTAGCTAAGAGGCCACTGAAAAACCAAACACAACTAATCCGTTTGAGAGAATAAATCACAGAAGAAGAGAAAATGAGCTAAAACGTGTTGCTGAAGAAATTCTACTGAGGCAGCTTTGGTTTGCGTAATTGCTTTAGCGTTCCTGTGAACTTTAGCATAGACGTGATCAGCACAAACTGAGATCCTCGTACATAGAGATACAGACAAGACTTATGGTGCGGAAGAAATATTTACCTATGAAGCGCTCTATCAAAGGCACAAATGTAGGCTACATGCGCTAGTTTCTACACACTACTCACTCTAAAGGCACTACGCTACTGCGAGGAACCATCTGCATCAAGACTAGTCTTTCGCTGTGCATTCAGCAAATTTGAAAGTGATTACAGACACTGTATGCCAAATTCGTACACTGTTAAGTATGACAAAAATAGAGAACTTATTAAAAGCATTTCCAAAAAGACCACATCGGGGCTTGTTACAACCAGTACAAATAACAAAGCAGCTCATGGACTGAAAACAGTGAAATGCTGAAATAAGTCATAGTCCGTTTTCCATTTTTGAAATGCATTGGTGATTTTACATGACAGCGATTCAATTGCTATAAGCAAATATAAGCAGACAAAATAAATCTGCATTAAACATTCACTAAGTAATTACTTTTGCCCACTCAGTTGGGTTTTCAAAGCTAGAAACTCGCTTACAGCTCCTGGAAGAACCGGAGCATTTTTCCCTCCAAACGATCAAATAAATTGCATTGCTATAAAATACACAAATCTGTTTCAAGTTGTCAATTTAAACCACGTCTAGCTTAGTCTTGCAGGGAAAAGATGAAGAGCCTAAGAGCCACAAGCTTCAATAACACATGAGAGCATGAAAGCCAGCAAGTCCATGTGTTATTGGACAGTCACAGACACTAACCTCACTTACAAAAAACAGGGTTGAAATAAAGCACTGCGCTTCCTAGAGGAAATTTTCTTTTTTTAGTGCTCCTGTAGCAATCTGCCCTATACAATGCTTTATCTGGGTATCAGATTTAGAGGTCACAAGTACTGATTCCATGAACTATCATCATTAGAGAGAGCTCGGGGAAGCTTCAGAAAGCTTTTCAGAGCACTCTACCAAGGTAAAGAACGTGTCACCGCACTGCTGTGAATCAGGGGTTGGCTCCTGCTGCTCCAGACTGCACTCATAAAATAATTCAGAATAAACGCATGGAACCCACCTGTAGTTCTTTTTACCCAGAACAACTGAGTTGTAAAAGCAGGTTGGGTAAGCCTACAAGCTTAACCAATTTATTTTTTTTTAGTTATTTCTTTTACAGCCACGCACACTTAAAGCTGTTCCCACTGTAGTCTGAATTTCACAGGTCCGGCTGCTTTAATTCTGCCAATTTCAGCATTTCCAGGACTAGCAGACAAATCTTCCTGCACACAACACAGTAAGCTGCAACTTGCCTCTCACCAAGGTTGCAGTTTGCCATTTATCTTTGACAAAGCACATTTCCAAAGCACACTCTAGCGGCGTTGTAAGTGGGGTTAGCGACTGTGCAGCGACGGTATGGGCTGATCACACCATACGCGGACTTACAACATATTCCCTAGCCTCAATGGCACACGTGGGTGTCCCTAAAGTCCTCTTCATGAGTTCTTTGTGAATATACAAAGACTGTGTCTGCTGGTGAGTCAGCAAAAGAAAACACATCCGTTACGGTGGAGACTAGCACAGCACCTGCGTTTACTGCTTCTACAGCAAAAGACAGCTTGGCGCTTAACGAACCTTTAAGTGCAAAGTGGAAGCTTGTTAGATACTAGGTGAGTATTAGTAGGGTTTAGCACTCTCATAATATTTACATCTCGTATTTTTAAAGGCTAGCTTAAAGACGTCAGGTCAGAAAATATCTCTGCTGGAATAAACCACGGCTTTACCGACCCCACCCACCCAACACCCAGCTCTCGGCAGACACACACACACACTTGCATACAATAACGAGTATTCCTACGGGCGGGGAGCACAGCAGGTGAAAAGGGGTGGTTTGGGTTTGCTATTTCTGCTCGCTCACAGAACAAACCAAGTAACAGTCACTCAGGCAGCCCAACCACCAAGCACTGGGGGAAGAGGGCGCAGGGCATCACACAGGCAGGACAAGGTGGTAAGGGGAAACGGTAACTGGTGCAATGGAAATCAAATGCCATCGTAATGAAGTCAACAACTTCCACTAAGAAGGAAACCACAAAAAACCCTCCACTGTGCCTTACGGGGCTGCCGGGAGGCTGGGGCTTGGGTAGTGACAGCGGGATCTGCATCCCAACTCCCAGCCCAGTCTCCGAGCGAAGAGAGGAAAAGCAAACCAGCACAGTGGCACGCGGCAGCTCGAAGGTGTAAGTTCTACCCCTGGATTTTGTTAGTTCAGAAGTATTGCTCTTTAAATAAAGGTGCTGATGTTACTGCCGGTATAGCAATAAAAGAAAAGAACACAAAATTAACATCAACTAGCAGAGTACCGAGTTTTCTTTGTCCTCAAAATGGAATTAGAAAAAGCAGAGCAAGCATAAATGAAATTATGACTTATGTAAGTGGTTCCTCATTTTTGTACTCTTCTGGCTTTAACTTCCCTAAAGAAACAGAGTTGATTTTAAGCACTATACTTTTTTTTTTTTTTTTTTAACCATCTTTTTAAAGTGTTATTAAAAACAGCACTGAAAAACTCTGCTTAGAAGACTTTTTTCCCCTCCTCTTCTAGTTCTGATCCATGGCAAAAGCTGTAACAATTTTACATTATCCACTACAGCGGGCATTTCTGCTGTTGGAGTTGGAAGAAACTTTAAAGAAAATAGGAAAACATGATTAGAAAACCACAGACGCTGACAAGAGTCAGCACCTTTTTTTTTTGGTCCCTTTTTTTTTTTAAACAAAGAGACTAGGGTTTTATATTGACAGTGACCACTGATACTGGTAGAGGTACCTCTACATTAACCTTGCATCTGTTCTAAATTGCCCAGGCATCTGTTTCCTTCCATGAAAACAAGATTCACTGGATTTTTAGTTTGGAAGCAAAATTAAAACCAGACAGGGCACAGGACATATCATTACTAATTACATAATTCATTTTAACAGTCACCAGTGATTTTTCTGCTTTAGTTTTGTAATTTCTCTTTCCAAATGCAACATAAGATGCTAACCCAGAACTTCTAAAGGAAATTAATAAAACATGCTGCCTCTCCAGACACATTCAGATCTTAAAGACTTCATGGAGGAATTGTATGGGAATCCATTCCGTCCCATTTCAAGGATCAATTACAACACGCAGTTCTGCTGCTTGCATTTATCCTGCTAAGCTTTTGTTATCTACTAGGCCTGCTCACAATAAGTAGTTCCTTTTCATGCACTTCTTCCTTAAACTAGTGCAAAAAAGGAGTTTCCTCTGAAATAAACAAATTGTTACACTGCCTTTTGTAGGAGTTAACAGCTCAGTTTATCCACAAAGCCAGGAAGGACCTGACATGGTCCCAGGACACGTACCTAGGGACATGGTTTAGTGGGTAATACTGGTGGTAGGGGGTGGCTGGACCAGATGATCCTGGAGGGCTTTTCCAGCCTTAATGATGCTATGATTCCATGACCCGCTTCTTGACAATTTGCTTGAGTAATCTATGATAATTTTAATTACCTAAATGCTGAAAATCTCCTGTGGCCACCTTTACTGCAAGGTGTCTGGCTAGAGTGGAATTTTGCCTCTGAACGCAACCAGCAGTGCAGAGACAATTTTCAAAGCAAATGAAATTCTTCGGTGTCCAAAGCCAAGCACCCATAATGTTGTGCTGTCCTCTCGGTTCCCTGTGTGACCTTTCCAAAAGTTGCTTCACTCCCATGTATCTGTACGGGTGAAACATTCTGTTCAGAGAGCTTTTCCCTACCTCCTCATCTGATTTCTCTGGTAAGATAACAATCCAGTATTTGCAACATTACTGCTCGTGAGCAAAATTCAGATGCTCTTGGATTTGGCAGTAGGACAAGAAGATGGAGAGGAGCTGAGAAAAGGAAATCTTACAAAATTTAACAGTGTAAAAGCAGAATTAACAGTATCATCTAGCTATGCTGAATATAAACGGGCCACATCAGAGCTCTCAGATGAAACAAATGCCAACAACTTATTTTTTCATCTCATAAACAACCAGGATTGGGGGGAGAGGATTGTCTTTTTTTTTGCCTGGTTAGAATTTTATTTCTGAAGATCACGAAGCACTTTCTTGACCTTTTAGTCTGAAAGCCCAAATCACCAAGGACCTTTGATAGGTGAACTTTACAAATTCTCCAGTCAGACAGAGCAAGCTGCCAGGTCTCAGCAGCTCCTCCTGCTCCGTGTTTCTAGATGCACTCAGTGGCCTGAATTTGCCCCTCTAGAAAAAGCTACAAAGATCTGAATGCTGGCCACCAACTTTGTTGGATGAGTCAGGCAGGAAAACCATTTAGATACAAACATCCTGGTAGCAAACAGGGGAAGGAAACAAAACCGGAGACCTTCGCAAAAGGTTCAAATCAAGATTTAGCAAGAGCCGCCTTTTCCACATTTTTAATGAACATGTCAGCAGAAATTAGAGGGACTCCAGAGAAAGCTAGAGGAAAATATTCTCATCATTTCACTTTTCACACAAACCAGTGTAAAACAAAGCATGCTTAAGACTCGCTTGCACTTCCCAGATAACACATGTTGGCATTTCTTCAGGCTAATATTAAAAGCAACTACTCATAATTGCTTACATGGCCAAATACTCACTAAAGAAGAATTTGTACATTTGAAATATGAGCTGGTGAATTGCCCAGGGAACCATAAACTAGCATTTCTAACTTGAATTAGAAATATTTCACATTATTTCAAATAATCTGTTTGGTGAATGGCACTACTGGAGGACAAAACTCCCACCTTCAGCAGGGCCTTACTGGCTCAAGCATCTCAGGACCACCAGAAGCCAGCCCACCATGGCAGTGCCATGAAGACAGCCACTGCCAGCACACCCTGCAAGCCTGCTGGTACAAAAGCAGAACTGAAAGACTGTTTTCCCCCCTTAAAAGCTACCCAGAAGAGATGCTCTGAGCCAAACTGCAACTGAGGGGAGGGAAGGAGGTACGCTTACAGAACCTGCCCTAGGACAAGTTGGAAACTTCCCGCTTCCCCAGCGACAAGCACCAGAAAAGGGTTAGGGGGTTTTTTGTTGTTTTTTTTTGATTCTAGCCTGAATACATCATTAAACAACAATTCCAATTTTTCTTCTAAAGTGTCCTGTCTGTAACCAGATGAGACAGAATACTGTTTACGACAGTGTTTTCAATTCTCTGTGACTAACCGCTGAAGTTCCCCACTGAAATCATCTCTACTTTTATACCGCTCCAGCCTTCATCCCTAAATGTCAGTGCAGTCCCTGGAGCAGAATTTGGGCTTTTTAATATAGTTACTTCCTTGCTGTTAAAATGTGTTTTAGACCAGGCTGTAAGATATTGAACAGTTGTGTCTCCTTCCTGTAATTTTTGTAACAATGATTTTAAAACCCTTAACCTAGGAGCCAAAGCAATACCGCACTAGCAACTTCTCAGCACAGTCACGATGTCTGAGTTTGTTGGGAATTATTTTATTTGTTAGTTTATTATAAATTTGTTTCAACACAAACGCTTTGATGCAAGTTTACTAATATAGCTATGGTTCATTTGATTTTTTTAATTTTTTTTAAAGCAAGCTCTCAGTTCAAGCCTCTCCTCCACAATTTGAAAGAAAGGCAGCTATCACTGGCTATCGAATATACTTTTTCAACTTCATATTTATGCCAAGGTATTTCATTGATATTTAAAGGGTCAAAGATCCTGCGGGACTTTAGTTTTTCTATGGTCACTTGAAAAATTGTGCAATCCATATCATCTGCTCTACGAGACATGTGCAGACATGAGAAACTTGCTGAGGAGCAGGATTTCATAGGCACTCTACAAGGATCGTATCAAATTTTCCTATCTTACTGAAACTTCACAGGACACAGGCAAGGTCCTTGGGAATTGCCAGGCCCAAACATTCAGAGCCAAGTGTAATCAGCATCTCTTAGTGGCTGTGTTAAATTCAGTCCCCTGGCATCAGCAGCATGGCAGCCCTGGTGTAAAGGATGCCTGAACCATATAAACGTCTTTATGACCACCTAGGACCTGTTCCTATTTCACATCTCACATGTTTTCTTACCTGAAGACTCAGACTTAAAACAAGCAAACACTTCAGCATGCTGTCTATAAGGCTGAGTCTTCAAAACAGAAATCGTACACAGGTTTGTGGCACCCTCAGCCACAAAACCCAGGGATGTCACTTTCCTGCTACTGCATCAAGGGGTGTCAGGTCTTTTCAAGGAAATGCCTGAACTTGCACCAACTGAAATCAGAAGAATTCTTTTCTAGCATCCCTCCTAATTTATTCCCCTCCTTTGGGCAGAGATACTGAACTGAATCTACCCTGCAGAGAAGAAAATTTCCCACCTAAGGGGGCAACCTTCAGCGTCAGGTTCATAGTAAGCCTCTGAACGGCACTCCTCCAAACCTGCTCTGCCACAGACATATGCAGGGCTGAATTAACGACTTTGTGACTTGTATGTGAGTATTAAAGTTCAGCTCTTCTATACTTTGGACTATCACACTTTTATACCACCACCACCCCCCAAAAAGGGCCATTTCCATCAGGAACTGTACTTTTTGTGGTTTCATTGTGGGGTTTTTGACTGCAAATGACTTTCTAGGTTGGGATTCCTTGGATTTGTCTGCATGTTATGATAAAACACAACGGATTCATTCACAAAACAAAACAAGTTTTTACATAACAGAACGTGCAATAAAAGCGCAAGAAAAAAGAAAAGAGAAAGAAAGAGAGGTATCCAGAGGAGAACTTACCCCGCGCTTTAGGCTCCTGAAGCAGTGGATTTTGGGTTTGGAGGTCATGAACTCGTTGAAGCGATGGGAGAGGGGTTCCTTTTGCTGCTTGGGAGACTGGGGGCCGTTGGGAACAGCAGAGGGTGAGGCAGAGGCAGGGGGAGGAGGAGGGGGCTGATGGGGGGATGTTAAAAGGGACATAAGCTACGTATAAGAGATGGAGAAGTGACAGAATAAAAATCAAAATAAAAAGATAAAACACAAAACGAAAATAAGCATCAAAAACAATATTTGAAATCCAGAGAAAAAAAAACAATTAATTAAACATTAAAGGCCATGGTTCAAAGGAGGGGGGGAGAGCAGTATTCAAGAGTTGTGTTAAATGAAGGATGTGATAAATGGAAGTTTTTAGTAAGTGATGCAACAGAAGAGTAACACAAAGTATTTGGACAGGAAGCTCATGCAGACTCTTCCATGCAGCACTATCCCCATAAACTGCCCTGTTCTCACTCTGTTGACAGCTCAGAATAATGCATATGGATAGAGCTTTCAAATACCTGAATTTAAATGGATCAGATAAGGAAGGTACCTTAGTGCCCAGTAGCGTTTCTATTATCTGGAAAACAACAAACCACATTCCTTCCTGCTTTCAAATCAGACCTCGTAATGTGCATCAAACTTCACTTTTACAAATTCTCAGAATTTGCTCAGGAGTTGGCCCTGGTTTTTGCTTCTGGCTACACTGATGAAAGCACCAGAGAGCCGAGTTCCCTCTTATACCAGCACAAGAGGAATGACCCATTTTGCTCAGGTAGGATTTTGGGGCTCACTGGAATCATTAGAAGTGGTTTGATGAGGGTCAGAGCAAGGAGATCAAAACCGTGAAGCTGCTCTGGGCTTCCATCAGTGTTACTGAAAACTGACCTAGCCCAGTCATCCTGCCACGTTCTGGTAACCCCACACGGATGTTGCCATGCATTATGGTGTAAAATATGACAGCGAAATGAGAAAGGTTTAATGGATACATAAGTTAATGTGGTCTTTAAAGTCAACTGCTCAGTTAGTTGTGCTCCGTTAGTTATGCTAAAGGAGAATGAATTGCAGAAATTCCTCCTTCCCCGCCACCCAACTGCAGAACCCGGCACACAGACTGAGGAGGTAACTCAAATGAAGCTAAGGAGAGTTTCAGAAGTGTCAAACAGTAATGCCACATGAAAGCTTCCCCGAAGTAACAATGTTAGTTAGCACACGTGACACTACGTAAGTGGCGTACAATTCCTTCTCTCAGTTAGGAACAGGAATGGACCATGGCACAGACACGACAACCAAAGTTAAATTAATATAAAAACTGCAACATAATTAAAGAAATTACAAAGAAAAAATCAGATATAAAAAACTTAACCAAAGACTTGCACAAAACACCATAGTAAGACATCAGTTATTCACTTTCTGAAACTAAAGTTCTCTTTAAAAAACTGCAGTTGCCAGGTTCACTACACAAGACAGAGGCTATTGACTACAAACATCCTAGCCCTAACCTCAAGTTTGCAAGTCAGTACCTTATTTTTCTTGATGAATGGCCATAACTTGCCCTTGGACTTGCCACCAAACTTCGGCTCCGACTTCCCATCCCCTCTGGAGTTTGAAAGGCTGGATTCGGAGACAGTCCGTTTCATGGGCTGAGTGAAGTCCTCAAAGTCCACATCTCCTGGAGGCTCGAACCCCGATTTAAAGGCTTCTATTACCATTTGTGAATCCTGAAATGGGACAGATCCAGTACAAAGGTAAATACCTCAGAAGAAGGCTGTCATCAAATTGGTGGCACAGAAGACCAGTACAAGGACAAACAAGGTTGCCTTCGAGGGAAACAACCTTTACAGGAACCAGTCTCATACTGGCACATCGACACCCTCCCCGAACTTGGGATTGAGATGAGTTTCTCTACTTTCTGCTCCAAGATCAAGGCATTTTTCATTGGACCTATTTTCACTACCATGATGTGCTTCAAAAAGATGCACAGAGAGCATTATCCCACCAAAACAAGGCACTCTGCCATGTATAACTGAGTGTTCCCAGATATTTCAGTGGCAAGTGAAGGTAAAAAGCAACAAGAAACCCAGCCTGTGTCAGTCAGAACATACTGCAACTGAGAACGTAAATGGCCACAATCTCAGTTTCAGAATAGAACACAAAAAGAAGTCTGAAATAACACAGGTGACCTTTGCTCTCAAATAGTCCGTAATTTGTGTTATAAAATGCTAGTTCCTTTTGCAAAGGTATCACCGAGACCAGTCATTACTTAAAATACCAACAGATAAAAAAAAAGACGACAGTCTATTCAGGAAAGCAAACCATACACCACTATCATTACGGCGTGAGTCATTGCAGCTAACTGCAGAGGATGCTCAGGAAGAGCAAATTCAGGTCTCCTCATTCCAGCCTTCCACGAGCTGCAGCCTGACCTCAACCCAGCAACCCTGGTTTGTTTCCCATGAAAAAATCAAAGTTCTGGTACAATCCCCTTGTAATGGCTTTTTTTCTTTTTTAAGTCCACTGGTGAAAATGCCCAGGAGCTTATTGTTAACTCTACTTACTAGAGGACAAATCCTACTTCAGTAACCGAACAGATAAGCGACTCATAACGAAGCTGAGGTCCAGAATTGCTGGGCATGCAGCTGTAAGCAAGCTTCTGGAAAGCCCCAGTAAATGCTCCTGTCTAACTGACCTCCAGTGACCACACTGGCATGAGTTAACCAGTCTGTGCTTGTGAACGTAGCTACAGTAAGTGGCAGGAGTTTATCTTCCGAGCTTTATCCTACAACTGGAGCAGCCCAGGGTCCTGCGAGCAGCCAGGCACCTTGGTGCTGCAGTGGCTGGTAACCCAGTGCTGTCATTAAAGCCTTGTACCCTTCTGGTGCCACTAGGAGCACTAGATGTACACTCTGCAGTGGTTTTGCTTTTTTTTTTTTTTTTTTTTTTTTTAAATCAGAAGAAAAAAATAAATCAAAAACCAACATATAGCATTTTTCCTGTTCAGGCTTACAAACAATTAATTATACATAAATGCAGATATGGACTTCAGCTTGCCAAATGCATCTAATGGCCTCTGAAAAATAAAATAAAAAACATTTCTACTTCTGATGTACTCAACTTCTTGGGAAGGGAGCTTTTTATATAATACTGTTCTAACAGTTTTCGCTCTAAGATCATTAGAGGAACTGTGCCACAGCACACAAAAATCTCATTAGCCTCCAGAGAACAGCACCATCATTCTACTCGGAGAAAAAAGATGAACTTGTTGCTTTGAAGGCATTTCACAGCTTCTGCTCATGTCCGTAGGTAAAACAGTGTTCACAAAAAATCCAGTGGGATATAAACTTACTCAGAGGCCAGACACAATTAAGCAAATCACTGCTATAAGACAAGCTTTGCAAAAGTATCCAGGGGATTGCGTAGCAAATTAAGGCTTGAGATCCTCAATCTATTAGGTGCACTGTAAAATTCAGACAGAACTTTGGAAGGAGGTAAAACACCACTTTCTCCATCATCTCATCCCAGTTTGGCATTAAAACTTTTGTAGGTATAAGCATTTGAAGGGATTTTACACAATGAGCATGAAGACGAGATGAAGAAGGAAGTGACAAACACACACGAGGTTCCATACAGTACTTTACAGGCTTTTCATGCTATGCTTAGAGCCTTTCATTTTTTTTCTTTTCTTAACTGTACAGTGTTCCTTCCATTTCGTCAAAACATCCTTCCACTACAATAGAGCTAAAAATATGCAGCATGCTCCATATATCACCAAGAGATAATGTCATAACAGGAACTCCCAGATCCGTAACAAATTCATTCTATCTGCTGCTGGAGCCTTCAGAAGCCAATTCTGCCCAGGTTCACTCAGCAGTCACCACAGCTCACCCTTGCAATGTGACCCCTGTGTTATTAGAAAGGGGACATGGAAAAGCAGCATATTTATAGCTGCATTAGAAACACAAGGCTAACGAGCGTTCCCAGCTATATCCAGCCAGTTTCCATTGATATTACTGGGAGCTGCACACGCTTTGGTGAGGGCAGAAAGCAATCCTGCTTGCACAGTTGCCAGTTCCCTAACTAAGCCTGAACAACTGGCCATTTTGCTAGGGGCATGAGGCAGAACTTTGTCATATTGAATCTGCAGAGAATAATTAAATTTTTCCATATATTGTTCTGGTTCTCAACAACATCTAATGAAATAGAGGCCCTGAAAAAATACAGTTTGCCAGACTCCTGCTAGCACCTACAGAGCTGGCTGTAGAAAGGAAGCCTGTTGCTAGCTGCCTGCACCTCCACAGTTACAACCTGACTATGGAACTACATCCTGACCTACTGTAGGTAGGTTTGTGTACTACACAATCTTGACCAGCGGTTCACAGATGCCACAGGAATCCTTCCAAAGGTCTGTGTTTGTCATAAACCTACCTGAAGCTAAAAATGGATTATCAGAAAGCTCAGAGATACCCACACGAAGTGCAAGGTTGTGCCTTTTTTTTTTTTCTCCCCCTTCTTAAAACAATAATGCCTTTCCATCGGCTGGTAAGGTTTTCCTGACAGCAAAAAAAAAGTTGCAGAACTTGCAGGTTCTCACACCCTTTCAGCTAGAGCTGACTCACATTTGGTACACAAGGTAAAGCACTAGAATTGGTGCTTTCTCTGTAATTATTTTCTTTCTGACCAATACATTTTCTATACTAGTTGTGGCTGTTCCATTTAAAGCCCTGGTTTCTGAAGTTAGCAAAAAAAGAACTTCCATTTACCTCTCCACTTCTTTAGCAACTCTGTATGTGATAGCTGGACAAAAAGAGTGAAAATAAAACCAGAGTACCAATAAGGAGCTAAGAACTCCAGATGCATCACTGCCTTTTGTCAGAACCCCAGGCTCTGAGCTCATACATTTCAAGTTTGGTGATACTGTACTTTTGTTTATGATTACCAGATCCTGGAGATCTCCTCCCAGCTGGGAAACACATGTCTGTGTGGGCTCAGAGTTTCACACAAAGCTTTTCCTGCTCAGCAGGCTCTTGGTTTTGCTCACCATTGTACTAGTTCTATTATCACCAGCTGTCCTTGCATTCAACTTTCCTGGAATCTGACCTCATTTACAAAGCTGACTACAGCTCAGATCTAGTGACTTTCCTATCCAAAAATGCTCAGGTTCAAAAAAGGTGAGCAAAGGAGAAACCCTTCAATTTGGGCTTTCAAAGAAAACAAACTGTTCTGACAATAGTCTAAGAACTGAAACTTGTTTCCTACAATTTTAAGGGGTGAGATAGGAAAGGTCTGCTATAAGAGTCTGCATTACGGGCCAAAGCAGTACATGATCTGGAAATGCGGAAGGCACAGCACCTACAGACACCCTTATAAAGTGGCAGGACCCACATCTTGGAAAAGGCAGGAGCAAGCATGCCACTTCTATTAGAATCAAGAAGGTTAGAAACCTCTGTTCCAGAGCTCTGCTCCAGAGGTTTAAAGTCCTAAATGATATTTTAAGAAAAGAAGAAACATTTATGGATAATCTGTTTTCAGACAGAATACGCTAAACCCTTTGTAATTGTTCAGATGTAACAATTTTGGTTAAATCCATTTTTGTTAGCATGGTGTTTTCAGGAGAACCCTTGGTTTTCAATGCTCAAAATACCTTTTTCTAATGTCATACTTGTGCATGTAAGCCAGCAGTCTGACTTATTTCTGTGCGAGAGAGACCAAGTTGAGCACAAGATTCAGTAGGTGGCGGTGAAGCTGGTTCCAACACCTAGCTTAAGTGGTTTGTGAGTTTCTCTCAGACTGTGCTTGAACATCAGAGCAGAACATAGGCCTAAGAATGAATCTCTCCTCAACACAATCTTCACCGTACAGCACCAAGAACTGTACCCCAAAAAGGGTGTATTGTTCAAACACGGGAATCTGTTCCCCAGCTTCCCCTTCTCCTACCCCAAAACAGTAACTTTCAGATTCCTTGGTTTCCCATGCTGCTCTCTGTGAGAGCAACTGCTGAGCAAAAAGTAGGGGATTCATTTCAAAACCTCAGCCTCAGGCTTATGCTGCCAATTAACTGCAGTCTCCAGGCTCTGGGCACTGAATAGCTTAGAAAAGATTCCAGTGAAAAAGACGTATGGGAATTTCAAACAGCCAGCAAGACACATGCTGTTTGTATTTGAAGCACTAATGTGATCCATGAGAAGGGCTGAAAGAGCAGGCAGAGACTTCATTTACAAAGAGAGCAGATCATTCTGAAAAGAAAATAGGAAACACATTCACCCTTGTGCTAACCATACATCAGCAAGCTCAGCCCAACTCTTCATCGGCCTTCATCAGGAAGGCTTGTTTTTACTCCGACAATGATGTTCAGAAATCAAGACTTGTGAGAGCTCATTTACAGATTGCTAGCAAGCCTCAATTCTTCAAATAAACAATTTAAAACAGAAATTTTGCCAGAGTTGCTGCAATAATTTATGTAGCCATTACTTTAAATAATTCCATTATTTTAAGAGTAACAAGATGACATTCCTGCAACAGTCCATTTTCTATTAGATATAGAACCCATCTGAATAAGAACCAGTGATACTTCAAATGATGTCCATCATTTTCCTTATTCTAGACCGAAGCCTTTTTTCAATAACAGTATTTCAAAAAATCATTATCCTATCAAAAGGAAAGAATACTCCTAACAGAAAAAAAGTGTGGCATTTCCAGATGGTAAGAAGTCTTAGGAGATAATCTACCTCAGACAAAGCAGTCTGGGACAAAAGCCTACCATTTGTTGTAGTTCTATGACTATAAAGCCCTCACACTGTGGTTTGGACCCAGGATTTGAATCTCCATATACAAAGCGATCAGTACTAATGACAGCAATTAATAATCCAAGCAATATAACACTTACGTTCTTGTGATCAATTGATTCTGCAGCTTTTGTAATTTCATCCAGACACTTTCCAATGATAGGGATCACCTGGCGGTCGACGTCTGCGAAAGTTTTCATGGATTCACCTATCCTCACAATTCTTCTTTCCTCCATCTCTTGTATTTTCTAAAACATTAGATTTCATTCAGATCAAATATCGAGAGTAGCTTCACAGTTTCAACCAATTTTTCTCCCCAGCAAACACTGGCTGCTTTAAAAATATATGGTTTAACTATGTTTTTAAGAATAGACAAACTAGAACAGCTGTTCTCATGAAGGCAGCAAGTGGTATCATCCCCTCAAACATCTAAATCCCACTCTAAGAGCAATCTGTTACTATTACTGAGAATTTTTCAATTAACTTTTTATGTTGAAAAATGCTGATTTGTCAAAATCCCAGCTTTAGATGTTTGTAAGAATGGTTCTTAAGGCTGTTAATATAATTTCCGGAACAACAAGTTCTCTTCCATTTTCCACAACATGTTGTGAAAGCGCCCATCTTCATTCCACTGGAGAATCCAAGGGAACAAAAAAAAAGTTTTGATTTCCCTCCTTCCCCCTAAGAAGATAATTTTTGGTTTATGGGCATCACACATTGTTTACATGAGTGTTTCTCAACATGTGCTCCCCGTTACTTGGTGGATTCAATGCCACGGCCTCCAGCACCTATTCCACGGATCTCTGATTTAGAACAGAGGCTAGGGGGATGTAGTATAACACTGTTAAAACAGATTATAAAACAGGATACAGGAGGGCATGAACAAGAACTGCCTGTTTCACATTAGACTGCAGGAATCTTCCTGAGTATTGATAACTTAGAAATCCCCATTACCTTGACTAACACACAAGCAACAAAAGGAAAAATTGAACAGTTAAAAGTTGTGCTGTAAAGAATTTCTGTTCTTTCCCTTATTTCACCATCTACGAAAAAGTGATAAAGCTTCCTAGAGCACTGGTAGTGAAAAGGAAACTTCTGCACAACTTTAAGCATGCTCACCTACAAATCAGAGCACTTTCCAGATTTAGGGTTAAATACAAATATACTGGAAGAATTTAAAATATGATGCCATGGAAAATTTATCTCAAAATACTGGCTTGAAATACAGTGAACAAAAGAGAAGGTGTCCATTTGGCTGATAAGCTACAGTTATGGATAAGAAAATGCTTGCTTGCTATGCAAGTATCCGTTATTTCTGATCAGATGCTAAGCATGTGACATTTTCTCCCTTAAAGAGGTTGTCTTTTCCACTTCTTGACTCTCATGACCCATTACAATGGAACAGTCATTTAGAACTCCTGTTCTATGACATTAATCTCTTTGTTCAGCCAAGCACATACTCAGATCTTCAGTCAGAACAAAAAAAGCTATCCAATTTGTACTTTCTCTACAGTCTTTCTTTAGGCATGGTAAGACATACTCAGCAAGCGTGCTTAAACCCTTTGACATTCACTGTTGAGTTTAACTCCCCAATAATTCTGCAAACATCTGTGAAATCTGATTTCAAAACAGGTTATAAAGACTGTGAGGCTTTACAGATGTAAGGGTGCCCAGCTGCCTCCTGCTCCAACAATGCAAATAATGCTCTCATTCCCCAGCTGCATGGACACAAGAGTTTAATACAGAAAATTGTGACAATACCAAGGACGACCGTAATCTGTCGTGACAATTCAATGTTGCCTTCCTCCTAAGAGAAAGGCACACTTTTACGTAGCCAAGCTCTCCATCACTTGGGTTAGCAGACTGTGTACAAAATTTGCTAACAATGACAAAATAGCCAAAGAATGAAACAGGATCGTAGAATCAGGCCCACATGCAATCCATCCCTTTATTTTTTTCACAAGTGCATGAGCTACTCTAGATCAGTGCCAGCAAGTCTTACCTGGAAGATGTTTGGTATGTGTGTGTAGTAATGATCATGCTGCTCGCTGTTGAACTTCTGTAGAGTGGAACAATATTCTGCTTTGCTGTCTTCTGCCATTTGATGTCGCAGCTGGGCTTGCTGTCTCGCCTAAAGAAATGCCAAAAGTAGTTTATAACTTCCACTACATGGAAATAAATTACACTGCATTACTCCTCATCTTACCATCTTACCAGTAGGCAGCACAGAAACATTAGCATATGGATCTCCAAACACTTACACTTATGGTTTACTCCTATACACAGATGTGTGTGAAACATTTCATCTACTTCAAACACAGGTCTGCAGTGTGCACCCCAGGAATTCAGTCCTCTTTCTTCTGTTAAATGTGGCAAAGCCTCGCCCTCTGTTGAATTGATACATTCCTGCCTGTTCCTATTTGGAATTTTCAGTTAAATTGGTCAAAATCTGGCGTATGAAAGACTTGTGCTCCTAGTTTGCCTAAGAAATGATAGCTCTCACAGCTCAGCTGCGTCCTCAGAATGAACATCTCTAGTTGTTTGCCATCTTCATAGAACAAACCTGCTGCCACAGATCTAGCAGAAGGCAGTGCTTGCTTCCTCCAGCTAGTGCGTGTCCCTTTGTGCTTGGAGCTGCTACCCTGTTTTTGCATTACAATATGTTAGTTCCATCAATCATTTTGCATTCCATAAACTGTCTCCCTTCATACTACATGAAGATACAACCTATGACTAAACACCACAACAAGTTTGCCCCTCTAGTAGCCCCCTTAGGGGCAGAGGCTTTCTGAGGACGTTTCGGGACACTTCTTCATCCCCTGTATGCCCTACTGGCTGGCACCTGCTTTTCTCTACTGAGCTACCTACCTGTTGGCTAGCAGTATCTTTTAGAGAAAGGGGAGGGACAAATGGTTTGTCCGATTTCACACACTTCAGCCAACATAGTCATGACAAAACATCTCAATTTGTGTCCCCACTGTACTCTCTGCAAAGTCCTTTATGTGCACTTCCTTGAATAGAGCTGGCACGCGGTGAGCAAGGAAAGGGGAGCCCAAGGAGCAGCTGAAACACGATTACCTTCCTATTTTTACCCACAGATCATTTGCTTTGCTACCCAGCAAAGCTGAGCACTGGGCAACTACCCTCACTTCTTGCCTTAGAACAATCTGTCCCTGATTGACCCTCCCGTACTTCCAGGTTACTCTCCTTACAGTTCTGCTTCCCAAGGCCTTCTGTTGTCTGTTTCAGTGCCCAATATTATTCCCTTGCTGTCTATCCCATCTGTTTAATTTAGCTGCCTTTTCCTTCCTTGCTACTGGCCTTCATACAGAAACTCTTCCTTCCTTTCCCTTCCCACATGGCTCCCTGCACCTACCTGCCTTCGCTCCCTACCCCGTGGTCACTTGCTGAGACTCTCCTCTTGTGCTCATTCACAATTTGCATCCAACCATCCAGAGCTGTTTTCATTCAGCTCCCACACAGCCCCTCACACTGCCACCTGCCCCAGCAGAGCCTGCTCCATGGCTGTGGACCAATCCTTGCTCCAGTGAAGCCAGCAAGAGCCTTGCCTCTTGGCGTTGTATATCTAATCCATCCTGTTTGCGCTTATTTTTCAGGCACTTGAAGCCTCGTCACCCTCTGCTGTCTACCTAGCCCTGGAACAGTCCTGCAAGTATTCAGCAAATATTAGGTTTTGATCGCTCCCTCAAATTTCAAAATAGCCCCTTTAAGAAAGGAGAGAGAAAGACTGCTTAAAAAATTAGTTAAGAGTATTTTTGGATGTTTCAGGGAAAACAGTACAACAAATAATTTTAATACATTCTAAGAAGTGGACTCCCACTGAAAACAGTTCAGAGAGGGGTTAGCCTTTGAACTGTTCCAAGCAGACAATAGTTTCCTGACAATAAATCCATGAAATACCAAATCATGGAACATTTTAGTAATCATAACTGGAAGCTAACAAGTTCTGCCAAAAGGTTTCAAATCTCAATTTGAAAAGAAATAGGCTTCCCTTCCACTTGTCCAGCTCACACCTCTCACCTAATAATTTATTTTGCCTCAATTCAGCTATTTCTTTTGCAAGTGCAGTCAACTGAAGGAGTTTCCTAGATCTCCTTTCACATTCTTTCTACAAAAACAGTAATTCAAGCATAATGAAAAAATGCTGGGCACTAAGTGCGTAACAGGAGATGAAAGAGTAGCATCAAATAGAAAAAGATTGTGACTATGACCAAATAAATAAATCCAGTAAAAAAACTCACATCTTTGCCTGTTCCCCAAGAGTTTTAATTGTCTACTCCCTCTTGCAAAGGAAGCAGCATTGGGAACTCTACCTGGTGCAATGAAATTCCAGCAGCCATATCAACCATTTTTCTACCCAAGTGCTCGATATGATTTATTGAACCTTATCATCCACGTACTCATCTATAGCTATGTTAAACCCGAGTGGAAAACAATATCGCCTTGTACTACAAACACAAACACACGAGCAAAACAAAGTCAGCCATGGAAAGCTGACAGCTGGAAGAGTAACGTGCGGTTGTCTCCCAGCCCCTTCCTCAAGTCCCAGCTGCCAGAGATCAATATTCATTTGTGAGGCCCATTCTCCTCAGCTACCTAAGAGCAGCCCATTGTTTGAGCTGACTTCTATGAAAGGCCCAGTCCCTCTTAGCTTTTTTTTTTTTTTAATGTAGTGCAACTCAGGAATTTGTCCCTTGACTCTATTTTTGAAACAGAAAAGCAAGAAATTCACTATTACACATTTCCAGTCAGAGCCAGCAAACATTAAGCCTCCAGAGTTCATTCTCATGAGCAAGCTCACTGGTGGGGTATGATAACTCTGAGCTGAATGTATACAAGAGTAGATGCTCTGTTTCCAAAACTATCTTACTGGCCCCAAATAAGAGGAGGCAGCAGATGAATAAAATTGGGTACATTCCAAAACCAAAAGTTTTTGTATGAGAGCCCCAGTCATGTTTTGTTTCTCCTGGCCATTTAATGCATTTGGCAAACTTCAAACTTTAAATATTTTCCAATGAGGTATGTTTCTTAAAATAAAAACATGAAAGAGTCTACATTTTTTTATTACTTCATTTGAGTATGTCACTTACTCTAACATCATCACTTCTAGTATTAGCAGAATTACATTTTATAACTAGGCTCCTGCACTCTGCTGAAGCATACAATGATAAAAATGAGTCGACGACGTTAAGTGTCACATTCAGAGCAATGGATGCAGTGGCCTGAAGCTGCACAGTCACAAGAGCTATTTCGGGAGTAATTTACAGTTGAGCTTCACAGAAAATTTATTTTTATCTTCTGCACTGCTCACTTCTGCACGCAAACAGCTTCAGAGAAGATACTTCTCAGGCTTTCAGAATTAATGTTAAAATATTTGTTCTGAACAGCTTTTTCAGGAGAGAAGGCTTTGGAATACCCAGTTTCTGGAAAACCAGACCATGCCTTCAGATACGGGGTGATGCAGCTTTCAGCCAGCTCACGCTCTCCTTTTAACTGTGCAGGGATGATCAAGCAGGAGCTTGGATTTCTAGCACCACATGTGAAACCACAATCCAGATCAACAGACTGCCAGGTCACTCCTGGTTAAAACAGAAGTCAGGACTAGGTACTTGTAACATTACAAAACAAAACAAAAAAAAGACAAAAAACACTCCCTTTGAAAGGAAAAATGAGTGAGGTCACTTTCAGCCTCATGAAAAAGGAGAAAAGGGCATTTAAGGGATTTAGGGGGAAGAAAAACATTTTGCTTTTCTTTGCAAAAGATACTCAGATCTTGTATGCACTTATTAAAGAAATTCACATCCACCCCCAGAGCACACCTTTGTAACCTCTTTTAGTCCCCAGATAAACATGTGCAGTGCATATACACACAACCTCCCCTCCAAAGTCTATTTTTGTTAAGGCAATTCTTCTGTGAACTCGTGTGGCAGCAATAAAACCAGAAGGTCACATATGCTACTGTACTTCTCATCAAGAAAAGCGCTCCCAAGAGCGAAGGACAGCCCAGTATCTGCAGCACCATCAGCCCTGCAGCAAGTATATTGGTAAGCTTAGAGCTTCCACTGCCATGGCAATTGAGATCTGAACACAATCACACCAAAGCACTATTTTCTGTAACTAACTTAGAGAAAGATATAGGTGAAGGAAGCAAAGGAGAAAGAAAAAATACACTTTCTGCCACTTCGGCCTTCACTACAGAAAAGAATGAAGGGTATTTTGCTGAGAACAATTTCGAAGACACATTCCAGAAACAGCCAGAGACTCAATGGACACACTGTCTTCTGGGTTTACACAGACAAAAAATGCAGCCCCTCCGGGCTGTTATGGTGGGAGTGATATGAATAACTGAAAAGGGCAGAAAAAAGCTTTGGCTGCTATTAAGCTGATCTGCACGGAGTGGAACAGTTCAGCTTCTCAGCCGTTGCTCATGTCCAGAATGGCAGAGTTTCCAGTCAAAACTCTGGTGTAACTTGCTTTCTTCTGCCCCCTCTTTTCAAAAACACCAACAAACCCAGACAGCATGTGAGATGCATCACTGCCAGGCCGCCGCCTGCCAAAACAGATCTGTCTTTGGTAAATCCAAGATCAGACTGAAACGCAAACACAAAAATCCCCCCCTCACCCCTCGTCGACCGTCCAATCCCTTCAAAATAAGTTAATGATAAAGGCAGACTCAGAAACACTTCACCAATGTCAGGAATGCTTTCAATTGCTCACAGATTTTTCAGCTGCGGGCTCTGACCCTCCCCACCCAGCCAGGCTCACATTGCTGCTCTCTGTTGCGAGCAGGCACTATCACTAACAGCAGTGGGGCGTCTCTTGGTAGCAGCAACACTGGCAGCATTTGCAGAAGCATTAATAACAGTGGGAACTCTGCCACGGACTTCAAAACAGGGCCAGGATTTCAGGCTTTGATTTACATAGCCTCCAAGTCAAGCTCCATTGTTTACTATTTTACAATAACCAGTTTGGTCTCTCTGAACTGGCACGCAAAAAAGTTTCAGAGTTTGCTTCCCTGAAAGCAAGAAGGCAGAACGGGACGTGCGAAGTAACAGATAGGAAAGGAAGAAGAAAAATCCTTACTTTTAATATTAAAAGGATATAAAAAAA